TGAGGCAGGTGGATGGGTACAGATGCCTTGTAGGGTGAGGACAGACTGAGTCGCACGGGGCGTCCGTATCAGTTATCTGGCAGACACCTAGACAGTCTATTGGATTTGGAGTCGGGAGTTACTGGGGGGAGGTCAGAGGAGTTCTTGTAATACAGGTGTTATTGAAAGCCACAAGACAGCGTGGGGCCCCAGGGACTAAGGGTACAGAGGAGCGATCAGACGCCCTCGCGTGGAGGCAGAGTGTGCGTGCCAAAGGAGGTGGAGAAGGACAGGCCCCGGGGAGGCAGGCCTGGAGCCAGGACAAGAGGGTGGTTCCAGGAAGAGGGAGTGCCGGGGCCGGACGGAGTGCTGCTCCTCCCAGGCAGGACACAAGGGGAGGACCCCACTCGTTGATGGCCTGAAGGCCACTGGAGACCTTGAGAACAGACCTCAGAGGTGCAGTGGGTTCGAGAGAACCAGAGGAAAGCAAGTGGAGCCTGAGGGTAGACAGACAGTTCCTTGGAGGGATTTTACACTCAAGGGAGTAGAATTAAAAGCCAGTGGCTGGGGCCAGCAGGTGGCGTGGTGGTTAAAGGTGCTGGACTCCAACGTGGTCAACCATGGTTCAAGTCCCAGACCTAGTGGCTTCCTTTCTCACTTTCCCTCTCTTTCTCTGTCTCTCTCTGGTCAAATTGGAAAATAATAATAATAAAGTTAAAATAAAATAATTTAAAGAAAATGGCGGAGGCTGGAGAGGGCTGTGGGTCCAGGGGTATGTAAAGATGAAGCTCAGGGAGCCAGGGAGTGATACAGAAGAGGCTGATGGCAGAGAGGGATCCGCAGGGACCAAACCCCAGAAGGAGCTGAGTGAGCACCAGCAGTGGACAGAGTGGACACCTGGACCCGGGTGAGAGCCGCCAGGGCTGGGGGCTGGGGCAAAGTGCGGACTCTGAGGACACCCTCGCCAGAGTGCCCCTGTCCCACTCACAGCAGGTGCTGCCCTAAGCGGAGGGTAAACAGGACACTGTCCATTGTCACAGTGTGTGGGACCACTGGGCTGGGAGTGAGGGCAGGGCCCACAGGTCAGGATCAGGATCCAAGAGCCTTGAGCCCTGTGCGCTCCTGCCCTGAGCAGAGTGTTCTGCAAACCTGTCCACAAGCCTGGCTCCTCACCTTCACTTGACCTCGACTTGCCCCCACCTCCAGTCCTTCCAATTGAGAAATTCTGGAGCCCTGAATGGATGCCCTTCCAACATCGACCCTGGGGCAGCCCTGCGAGACGGGCATTATTGTCCCATTTCTCCGAGGAGGAAAGGCAGGTCCAGCGTCGTCCAAACCCGGCGTCCCGTGATTTCAAATGCCGCTACCCATCCACTAGCCCAGCGGGAAGGCACGCGGG